TTACCATATGACTATGGTAAGCTAGGAAACTTCATGTACTTCAGTTCCCTCCACTGTAAAATGGGGATCATAAAAATACACACCTCATAGGGTCATCATGAGGGTGCAGTGAGCATGGCAAGTGCTTGGGGGAAGGACCAAAAAACCCAGAGCGTTCAGTGGATGCCGACTCACAGTGATCCTGTAGCACAGAGTAGAACTGACCCATAGGGTTTCCAAGGCTGTCAATCTTTACAGAAGCAGACTTCCATTTCTTTCTTCCACAGAGAGGCTGGTGACTTCAAACCATTGACCTTTTGGTTAGCAACCAAGCGCTTAAGCACTGTGCCACCAGAGAAGGGTTGACACCTAACACGTGGTTTTTCTGTAAGTGTGGCATTGATATCATCATATTATTAGTACTAAGAAGGTAAAGGCCACATTGGACCTGTGTAAGTCTTCAGAAAGCCTCCTCTCCTGCCATGGAAGGAAGGTATGGCAAACCCTCTCCACTCAGCTCACCATGGTTCTCCCATTGAAAAGCTTTCCTTTCTCTAAGCTCTGGCCTTCCTATCCTATCCACCAACACCAAAATTTTCTTTGTAACAGATGGCGAGTTGTATCCTTGCACATCTTGAACCTTCAATGGCTCCCCAGTGCCTACAGACTAAAATTCCCCTCCAAGCCTAAGACTTGAGCCCTCTTCCTTTGACTCCAACATGCTTTCCCACCTTTTCCTCCATTCCATCTGCCTATGTCCCCTGACCACCGCTCACTGTCAGTGTGTCATACTGTGGTGACTGTAACTGCACACACTTCTGTAAATCCTTGGGGGGCACAAATAGTTTGCACTTGTCTACTGACCAGAAGGTTGGCAGTTCAAGCCCCCACAGTGGCACCATGGGACAAAGATTTTGCAATCTGCTTCTGTGCAGATGATAGCAGAGAAAACCCTATGGAACCATTCAATTCTACAGCACCAAACCAAATACCAGACTCCCTGCCATCAAGTTGATTCTGACTCATAGCGACTCCCACTGGGGTTCTGAGGCTGTAAATCTTTATGGAAGTAGATTGCCCCATCTTCCTTCCATGGAGCAGCTAGTGGATTTGAACCGCTGACCTGGTTAGCAGCCAAGTGTCTTATCCACTATGCCACCAGAGCTCCTTCTGCAACACACGGGGTATCAATGAGTCGGGACTGACTTAACGGCAATGGGTTTGGGGATTTTTGTGAAGGCCTGATGTGGAGTCCCTCGCTGGGACAAACAAACCATTAACATGCTAAACTGCAAACTAAAAGGTTGAAGGTTCGAGCCCACCCACAGGCTCCTCGGAAGAGACGAGCCTTCCTAAAATTCCCAGCCATTGAGAACCGTATGGAGCACGGTTCTACTCTGACACACATGGGGTCACCATGAGTTGGAGTTGGTTCTAAGCAATGGGCACACCCATTTCTACGCATAAAGCCCCTCCGTGGCTTCCTGAAGCGGGCAGAATAGACCCCATGCTCGGTGCCCTGGCAGCTGACGCCCGCAGGATCTCTGGCCTCATCTCACCTTCAGACATTCTCCCCGCCCCCACCCCCCGGACGCCCACACTGCAGCCACCAGGAACTGCCTGCACGCCTGAGCCGGTGTGCATGGTGCAGTGCTTCCAACAGTAACAAGGCAGCCTGCTCCCCGAGTCTCTGCACCTCCTTTTGCCGCCCTGCCTCTCACTCCCTCTGTCCCCCAGTGTCCAGTACAGGACTTGGAGGAGGAGCCTGCAAGAGTCACTAAGTGGAACAGCACCCTTGACCAGTCGGGGAGACGGAAGTCGTCGGCGTTACTGCAGCCCCCTCTGCCGGGCGTATTTCGCGGCGCAGGGCACTCACCGGCGTGGGAGCGTTCACCACTGATAGGTTGTACCCGTAGAGGAAGGAGGAGCCGAAGGCGCCCACGAGCGCCGCCACGATGAGCGAGCAGGACCAGTCCTGGGGAGGAGAGGAGACCTGTCAGACCCGGCACTCGGGAGCAGGACAAAGGGCCCGCGAGGAGGCCACCTGGACCTCCCCAAAGAGGCAGGAGATGGAGGGAAGCTGGTGTACGGCGGGCTGGTGGTCTCGCCTCGGTTTGCTGTTACCCAGGCAGCCACAGCACTGCCATCGTCATCGGGCTGTGAGAGAGTGATGAAATGTACACGTCTTTAGTGGAGTCCCAGGGTGATGCGCACTGTTAATGCGCTGGGATGCTATCTGAAAGGTTGGAGGTTCAAGTCCATCCAGGGGAGTCTCAGAAGACAGGTCTAGCAATCTCCTTAGAAAAAAAAAAAACAGCCATTCAAACCCCTATGGAGCACGGCTGTACTCTGATACACCCAGGTTGCAGGGAGACAGAAGGACTCCACAGCAAATGGATTGAAGTCTTTAGCAGAAGCGCTGTGGGTAGGCACATAGTATTGTTTTAGCTGAATGTGGCCAATTCTCACCCACAAAACCCAAACCCACTGTCATCCAGTTGATTCCAACTCATAGTGACCTAGAGGACAGAAGAGAACTACCACATAAGGTTTCCAAGGGGCTATCAGTCTTTACAGAAGCAGACTGCCTCATCTTTCTCCCATGGAGCAGCTGGTGGGTTTGAACCACTGACCTTTTGGTGGGCAGCCACATGCCTTAGCCGCTGCACCACAAGAACTCCTCATTCTGACCCAGGTAGGTGCAAAAAGCAAAGTCAGACCAAGTTACCAGCAAGCAGCTGGCACTTGTCAAAGGTTCTGAGCAGGGAGTTGCTCTAACAGCTTTCCAGGTATCATTTCATTGACTCTTCTGAGTGAGCCTGTTAGGTCAGGATCTTTTATTGTGGTTCACAGGTGGGGAGACGGAGGCACAGAGCTGTTCGCTGGGGCCACCTGAGATGGCACTGGAGGCCAGGTGACCACCTGTACACCCACTTGGTCACCTGCTGCACCACTCAGCCACGTACACACGTGCATGTACAGTCATGCACACATGTACACAATACACATACACACATACACATGTACATACACACACGGGTATGCATGCATGAAACACATGCACACGCAGGCATGCTTGCAATACACATGCCCACACACATGCCCACAGCACACATAACCAGGCATGCACACACATGTAAACACATATGTACTGTTCCAGGCTGAGAATCAAGTGCCCTCTGAGCACTTCAGGACAAGAAGCTAGAGACTGGGAGGGATAAGGCTTGGTTTGTTCCTGCCTCCATCTAATCCTGCCACACAGCTCCGTCCAAGGATAGACACGTCCACGGAAGGGCTATCAACAGGAACATCTATGCTTCTCGGCAACGGCTCGTCAGCTGGCAGAAGTCGAGGCAGGCTGCCCAGGGGATGTGGCCACTCACCAGATGGTGTGGGGGTCCCTGGAGAGAGTCTTGGAAGGAGCTTTCTCTGTCATCATGTAGCATGAGCCAGTGGGGGATGAGGTGTCCTCTAGCTACCACACCCTGACAAAGCTCTGAGTACCCAGCAGTGAACCAGACAAGTGAGGGCCACAGTTCAGGAAACAGAATTAGTCAGTTGCTGCCCAGGAAGGGAAGCAGGACCCCCATGGCCAGTTCCCTGTTCTGCCCACCTCCTTAGCCTCCTCTGACATGGGCTGCAGTGTGGGACAGCCCCACCTCTCAGCTGTGGGACCCTCAACCAGGGACTGGACCTTTCTGGACCTCAGCTGGCCCAACTCTAATACGGGACCCTAACAACAGTACTGACTGCAAATGGCTGTTAAGGTATCCGTGCGTTACTGGATGGGGAGGCGTAGATGGATGGGTGCGTGAAGTGTCAACTCAGAAGTGCACTTAGTGTTGTTGTTGTTGTTAGGTGCTGTCAAGTTGTCTCCAACTCATAGCGACCCCGTGTACAACAGAACGAAACCCTGCCCCGTCCTGCACCAGCCTCACAATCCTTGCTATCCCTGAGCCCATCATTACAGCCACTGTGTCAGTCCACCTTGTTGAGGGTCTTATCCTTTTTTTTGACCCACTGCTTTACCAAGCATGATATCTTTCTCTGGGGAATGGTCCCTTCTTACAACATAACCAATCAGGTGAGATGAAGTCTGGCCATTCTTGCTTCCAAGGAGCATTCCAAGGAAGCCTCTAGACTCACAGCAACACGCAAGCCACCACAGGACGACAGACTGACGGATGATGGTGGAGAAGGGTGCCTACTCTGTTTTCTCTCCACTTCCTTCTGTCCTGGCTGTAAGAACGGTCGTTGGCCAAGTAAACATGCCACACTCCCTCGACCTTGCCCGTGCTACATGTCCACCTGAAACCCTCCTTTCTAGAGGCTCTTTCTTATCTCACACTCATCACAGACTTTCCTCCTCTGAAAACCCTCCCTGGGAGCTCACCATTTGGATGCTTATCTCTTTCATACAGCCTTGTCTGACTGCCGGCTCCACCACTTTCCACCCTGTGGCCTCGAGCCTCTGACTTTGCTGATTTGGGACTCAGTTTCCTAGTCTGTACAGTGGGGATGAGAACAACAGCTAGCCCACAGGTGGTTCTGCAGAATAGCAAGGTTGAAGCAGGTGAAGTCCTCTAGAGAGGCTGGCACACAGTAGGGCCACATGTGTGTCCATGGTGGGGGTCAGGCAGGTAGCACCCTGGTGATGGGGACCTGCCCCTCTCTCCACTCCTGAGCATTGAGCCTGTGAGAGGGGTGCTCAGTCAATGCTGGGGAGAGGATGGAGGGCAAGAGGGGAGGTTTGCAGGCCACAGAGTGGACGTTGCCAGGTGTGGGACCGGATACACCTCTGCAGTGGGAGGAGCTTGAACTGAACGGAATTCACTGGCAAAGACCGGAACCACATTTTACACAAACTCTCGTCTTTCATCACCTTTTTTCTTTAAATATGCACTTTGGGCCTCAACTCAGCTGTCACACCTTCTGTCCCCCAGGCTGTGTGGGCATGTTTTCTGGGCCCCCTGTCACCTTGCAGGACATGGCCTGTTCCCTGGTCTGTCCCCCTCTGTCCCGCAGACCAGGAGTTCCTGTGAGAGGGTCTCCAGGCAGAGGGTGGAAGGAGTAGCTAGGGGCTGCCTTCTCTGTCTCAGTGGCTCTCCCAGGGGCCCCCATCCTGCACGGCCCACCTGTGCCTGCTGACTCTTCACCGCGGGCAAAAATAGTCCAGCCAGCAGGGATGCTGGCTGTCTGTGCCAACACCCTGGGGGAAGGAAGAAGAAAGACACCCCAAGCAGGTGCCAGCAGGGTCCTCCAAGAACATTCCATGTGCACAGTCCCCTTGCAAGAAGACATCATTTATCCCAGTGAACTGAGGCCCAGAGAATTAGAGCATCCTGCCCCAGGTGATACAGGTGATGACATAGGTGTGGAGGCCAGGATTTGAACTCAGGCCTCCTGAGTCCACCAACCCCAGCCCTTCACCTGGGATAGCTGCCAGCTGGCTGAGGCTGAGTCACGTGACTGCCACCCATCCCTGAACTGCCCACAGCCCTCTGGGCCTTACAGAGGCCAGCTTATGTTTTTACCTTTCTTCTCCAACCTGGCACCTGGCTCCTCAGGCGATTGCACCCAGCCAGCTCCCTCCCTGCAGCCTGGGAGCTGCTGGTGCCAGGAGTGAGTGGAGCTAGGCTCAACTCCCGGGACCCCATGCTTCTGTTTCCTTCAGCCTGGCCTGGAGGCCCTGCTGGCTGCTCAGCCCACAGCCACTCGGGGACCCCGGGCTCTGCCAGGTCATGTGAGTACGTAAGGAGGCAGAGTCCATGGACAGGAGGCGGGACCGCCTGAACGGGAAATGAGGCAATTTTCCCAAGTCTGGACAGGCAACCGGGCAACATTTTATCCCTGCTCCCAAGTCACGCCAGCAACTGCCAAGTCCGAGAGGGAAACCTGTGCTCCTGGGAATTGTGACCTGGGCCTGGATTTCCCCTCCAGCCTCCTTTAATGTTTATTTCAAAGGCCAGAGTGCGTGGAGGGGGTGACAAGCAGAAACTCCTGAGAGCTGCCTTAGTGACTGGACAGATTAAAAAAAAAAAAAGGTCACTGATTTGCAGTACAAGCCAGAGGTTCCAACCCTGACTCCACCCTTTTTAACTGGGTGACCTCAAATGAGTCATTTAACTTCTCTGAATAATCATTCCCACAGCTGCAGGAATGAAGCAATTAGTTCCTGCCCTGATTGTTCCAGAATGTTATTCTGAGGCTGGGATATAAAGCACTCAGCCCCAAGCATCCTGTGGGGAGTATACACGGTCTGCCTCTCAGCTGTGGGACAAACGGGGAGGCTGTGGGTTTGCAAGCGGAATAAGCCACATGACCACTCCTCTGTCCTCTCGTTCAGCTGAGAGAGCAGCTGAACATCTGCAGCTGCTGCTGAGTCCTCGTGACTCCTGCTGACCCCACGTGTCTGAGTAAACCGCCCTCCTTACGGATTCCAGTGGCTGATTTTTCAGAAGTACATTGTCAGGCCTTTCTTCCAAGGTGCATGTGGCAGGCTCGAACCCCCAGCCTTTCAGATAGAAACCGTTTGTTTGCACCACCCAGGGCCTTCTGAGCAAACACCTCCTATGTGCTTAGTGGGCAAGCATTGAGGAGCCAAGACCCCTCGGTGCACACTAGGTCGTCCCCAGAATTCATTCGCTGCACGTTCCTCTTCCTCCATCACACATCCCCAGGACGTCTCAACAAGAGCTGGGCTCAAGTCCACAAAAAAGAGGAGGCAAAGCAGCCCACTGGCCCAAATGGGAAGCACACACATCAAAGTAGAAGACGTGCATGTTGCAGAGGTTCTGAGAGCATGCACTGGCAAACACACGTGAGCACCATCAAACACACATGAACATGTCCAGCCCACCATGCACAGCTGTGGCAGAATGGTGGCTAGGAGCCAGTGGGGAACAAAACTCCCCCTTTTCCCTACCCTCCAAAAAACTCAATAATCAGGCCCGCTGTGCTTGAGCAAGGAGCCCTGGTGGTGCAGTGGTTCGATGCTCAGCTCCTCACAGAAGGGTGGGCTGTTCAAACCCAGCAGCTGCTCTGTGGAGGAAAGATGAGGCGGCCAGTTCTGTAAAGATTAAAGCTTTAGAAACCCTATGGAGCAGTTCTGCTCCATCCGAGAGGGACAGGGTCACTGTGAGTCAGAACTGATGGCAATGAGTTTGATTTTTGATGCCCTGGGGGTGCAAAATGCCAAGCACTTGCCTGGTAACCAAAAGGTTGGTGGTTTGAACTCACCCAGAAACTCCATAGAGAAAGGCCTCTTGGTCCACTTCTGTAAACATCACAGCCAAGAAAACCCTATGGGGCAGTTTTCCTCTGTCACACGTGGGGTCACTGTGAGTCAGAACCGACTTGATGGCAACTAAAACCACAGCGTGCACTGAGCACGGAAGTCGTCCTGCAGTCATTCTGCATGTGGACCTCTGAGGCTGGCCTCACAGAGCACTGGCCAGCTCTTGAGTTGGTTTCCAGCCCACGGGCCTGCTTCACTCACTGAGCAGGAAGTGTGTGGAAACACAATGACGGTAGGAAACGTAATGCCTGAGGCGTTCCCCAGACGCCCTGGGCACTTTCTGGAAGAGGTGATCCTGGGCAGACTCTTAAAGATGAGTGAGCTCAGAAAGGAGCCTTCGTGGCACAGCAGTGAAACACTCAACTGTAAGATAAAAGGTTGGAGCTTCAAACGCACCTGCTGTTCCATGGGAGAAATACCTGGCCATCTGCTCCTGTTAAGGTCATGGCCCAGGCAGCTTATGGAGCAGTCCTCTGTCACATGCAGTCTCTGGGAGTTGGAGTTGACAGTAACAACAAGCTCCCAGGGATGAGAATGGCTTGAGAGGACACTGAACAAGGCCAGGAAGCATGGATGCAGCGGTGTATGTGGGAGAATGACATAGCTTTCTGTGGGTGAGGCCACAAGTGCAGGAGCGTCCAGAAGAGGTAGGGACAGCAACATCCCTGTGTACCCAGGACCTCACCTGTGCCAGCCTGATAGGACCTTGTGCATCATCACTGGCTGATATTCAGAAGCAGACCGCCAGGCCTTCCTCCCTAGTCTCTGTTAGTCTAGAAGCTTCACTGACACCTGTCCACCACGGGTGACTGCTGGTGTTGGAAACACTGGTGGCATGGCTTCCAGCCTCACAGCAACACACAAGCCACCACAGTAGGGCAGACTGACAGATGGTGGGGTGCTCTTGGGCAGATCCTGGGAAACCTCACTGCTATCATCGATGTGAAATGAACTTTCTTGGGTGTTCTGCACTGGGCGTGCTCAGCCTGCTCCTTCACTCACTTATCTCCTCACTAATACGTCCGTTATCAGGTATTCATGAAGTTCCTGTCACGCCAGCTTCTTTGGTATACACAACCTCCTTACCTCTCCTGGCCTTGCTCCAGCTTTTCCTGCTGACTCAATATTCTTAACTTCATTCAACCTTCGACATGCAGCTCCACCACCCCCCTCCTCTGAGAAGCCTCCCCAGACCTCTCTCTGTCCTGCCTCTGCCTCTGGGCTCCATGTGCTGTTCATGTCTACCCCAACCATTGTCACCCTTTCTTGCAAGTGCCTATCCTCATGTATGCCTTCCCCTCTGGACAGGAGCTCCCCAAGACCAGGGACTGCCCCTTACCATGAGACAAGAACTAGATGGTGCCCAGCTACCATTACTGAGCATTTTGATTAAAGATTCTATAGAAGAGTGCTGATCAAAGGGAGGGGAAATGCAGAACAGAATTTCAAATTCTCATGTACTCCAAACTTTCTGGAGTCAAGGGAGCTAGATAAACCCCTGAAACTATTGCCCTGAGATAATCTTTAAAACTTAAATCAAAAATATCCCCTGAAGTCTTCTTAAAACCATGCAATAGTCCAGCTTAACTAGTAAAAAAAAAAAAAAAAAAAATGACTTAAGCATTATACTTTTGAAGGATTGTCTATATGGGATCACAGTGACAACAGCAGCTGGAGAGATTCGATAGGGAGCTTCGAGGGCAGGGAGTTTATGTTCATGGGGGAGGAACAACTCAGATAAGGAAGTGAGAGTAGATGCCCAACTAAAAAAATGCAATGGATGTCACTGAACTGTGCATGTAGAAATGGGTGGACTGGTATGTGCTTTGCTGTGTATGTTCTCAGTAATAATAATAAAATAATTCTTTCTTAAAAGAAAAAATGCATGGGCTTTGGAGGCACATAGGCCAAGGTTTAAGACTGAGTCCACCTTGTCCTAGCTGCATACCCTGGGACCAGTGGCTCCATACCTCCCGGAGCCTCAGTTCTTTAGTTGTAAAATGAGAACCCTGGTGCCTTCCCCTTGGTTTGATCAAGAGAACCAAAGGACTCAGCGGTGAAGGTCAAGCACAGAGTGAACACTCTGGCTGTTGGTATTTAGTCTGGTTTAATGAGAGGGTCAAGAGGTCCTGAGAAAGGAGAGAGCTTTGGTCAAGGACCACATAGTGGAGGGGCCAGTCAGTGTAGACCTTGTGTGGGGGGCGTTGTGCCTAAGGCATTTGACTGCTAACCAGAAGGCTGGCAGTTTAAACCCACCAGTCACTCCTTGGAAGGAAAATTGGGCAATCTACTTCCATAGAGATATCGCCTCAGAAACCCAAGGAGGGGTTGCTATGAGTCAAATCAACTTGACGGCAGTGAGTTCGGTTTTCGGTTGCTGTCAAGTCAGTTCTGACTCATGGCAACCCTGTGTACAGAGAAGAATCACCCCACAGGGTTTTCAAGGCTGAGTTTTCAGAAGCAGATTGTCAGGACCGTCTTCCAAGACGCCCCTGGGTGGGTTCGAACCCCAACCTTTGCTAGTCATCCAGTGCTTACCCATTTGTGCCATCCCACAACCTGGGGGTGGGGGAAATGGATTTCAGCAGATCCCTAAGGATGACGACATAATCACCTTCAACACCAACGATCCTCTCAATGAGAAATGACGTTCAGCACAGAGACCCCAAACCCAGAATGTCTCGGCAGATCCGTTTATGAACAGCATAATTCGCCCGGGTTTCTCGTTTTGCAGAAACTGCCCAGTCCCCAAGGCTCCTCCCATATCATTTTGCTTCCAGCCACTGCTCTTCTCTCTTTCTGACTTCCCCTTAACCCCTGCTTCCCCTGGGAGGAGGGAGGGAGAAAGAGGAACGAGGAGACATGGCCCCAGGGTCACCTGAATACTGATGCGCGAGAGAAGGAAAGAAGGACTGACCAATTTCTTTTTTGCCGAATCCTTCTCTTTGTCATCTGCTGGGTCCTTTTCACTGCCCATCATGGTTTATTTTTCAGATTTGAGACTGGCTGGTCTTTTCTTTCCTGTGAAATAGAAAAACAGGAAGAAGTCACGGACACGAGCTCTCCACATACGCGTAACTCAGGCAAGTGGCCCAGTATGGCTTTTGAAAGCTTTGCTGCAATGAACCCTGGCGGGACACCAGGTCAGAGGACGAGGGAATCCTCACTTTGCTTCCAGTTCCCCAGAGCCCTGGGCGGATCCCAGCCCCTGTCTAGCCTCAGTTTCTCCATCTGTGGCGTGGGAGGGTTGGACTCCATCTGTGTTTTCCACACTTGCCGCATCACTCATTAAAAAGGCAAGCCCATCCCCAAAATACTCTCACCTAGGAAAGAATCCTTATGCTGGGGCTCCTTTCAGAA